TAGAGTATTTATTAAATTTGGCCATTTGGATATCCATACTTCAAAATGCACGGCCATGACCTTGCTCCTGGATTTGGGCTTGACACCAGGAAGTAACGTAGTCTGAGTCCGACGAGAATAACAGATGATCATAATGGCACTAAGAAGTAAGTCACGCTCTCTCGTCTCCTGTGCACTACACGATCCAATCAAAAGGCATAACAATCTATCAAGATCGCCATTAAATTAACACGAGCTAAACAAATGCGTGGGATTTCAACAATTTCTATCCGTTGCCACTCCTGCCCCACCAACGAAAAAGTGGTCTCAAATTAAGACCCATGTCTCCAGCCCATTACCCCACGATTCTCTTCTTTCCAAAAGAATAAACACAATCCTTTCTCAAGTGGAGGGTGGAGACTTCTTCAATCATATTCTCAGATTGTTTGATTATTTAAATGAATCCCTCCTCACCAGAAGCATACCTAAAATTCTCTAGTTTCCAATACTCATTTAAAAAAAAAAAATTTGTTCTCAGTTCAATCTCTCTCTGAAGGAAGAGAACATATTAATTCGTCCATGAATGCTGCGTTGTATCCTTGACAAGTGACAACTTGCCTCTTTTCTTTCCTCTGTTACCCATTATTTCATATGGCTTTAAAACTGACCTACCAAGCAAAGGACATGATTCAATGCCTCTGCCCATGAGTGCTATTTTGCTTACAACCAACACTTCTTGTGCTTTTTCATTGTTTCTTTGTGGTAAAGACTTTTGTTTAGATTGGCTGGTTTTCTGCTCAAATGAGTAAGAACCCATTTCAGCAGAACCATGAAACCATGACAATGTGTGAGCTTTTCAAGAAATTCAAGCGCTTTAAACTGTTTGAGCCGTCTTTGGGAGTTCTGGGGTTCTTTCTTGTTGTGTTTTGTGTGATTTGCTGCTTCTTTTATTTGGATTACAGGGCTGTGGCTAAAGGGTATGCAATTCCTGCACAATCAGAGAGGTTCTTGTGGTTGGAATTGAATGGGTCGTCTAGTGAGATTAAGAGAGTTGAGTTTTTGGGGGAGCAGGGGAATGATTGCAATGTGTTTGATGGTGATTGGGTGTGGGATGAAGGGTATCCTTTGTATCAATCCAAAGATTGCAGCTTTTTGGATGAGGGGTTTAGGTGTACAGAGTATGGGAGGCCTGACTTGTTCTACACCAAGTGGAGATGGCAACCCAGACGTTGCAACTTACCCAGGTTCTTATTTGTTGATTTCTTCCCACTATTCATTTGTTTACATTGTTTGGTTGCTGGAAAAACAACAGGAAACTTGCAAAGTTGCTGAAATTTTGATTATCATTGAAGTCACTAACTGAAACCTTTTTGTGCTCCTTCAAGGGCTAATTGCCAATACGGTATCTGTTATTTTCCTGCATTTTCTTACCAACCAAACGGTGGACTAGTCTTGTCTGTGAATCCTATGTGGTTTATAACCATTTGATAAAGCCTTTTCTGTCTCGGAGTTTAACTTGAGTTAATATTAAAGACCACTGCATTTTTCTTTTCAGTATGAAGTAGTTTCACTTGATCATTTTTTTTCTTCAATATGAAGCAATTTCACCAGATCAATTTTTTTTCTTTGTCAACATAAAGTAGTTTCACATGATCAATTTCTTTTTGAATTGTTGATCATGTGTTATATAAAAGCATTTTGTAAAATTGCAACAATTAAAATGGACTGGAGCTAGTAATAAACTAATAATTGGCTATCAATGAAAAAGACTGGATACTAATTTAACTTTTTTTCTGTGGTAAATAATCCATAAAGAGGATTGTTAATTGTTAGACCCAAGTGTCATTTTAAGTAAGTCAGTTTCTTTGTGTAGATCATTTATATCCTTGAACTTATATACAAGGATTGAAATAATTTAGACAATGAAGACAAAACAACAATCCCTTTTCCTTTTTCTCTTTCTTTTTTTTTTTTTTTTTTTTTTTGATCAGCAACAACTATCCCTTTTTTAGAATTAGGATTGTTTTGATCTTTCTGTTGTTTTATGCCCTCACCTCACTTGGTGGTATTACTTTACTGTGAGTTGATTGTGTGAGTAAAATTTTTCTATAGGTCTACCAATGTTTTTAATTCATGTATGAATCTTACTTGAGAAGGACTATAAATTTTGAATTATGGGTGTATGGATTTCATGTTTGCGGATGTTGTCCCATCCTTATGTAATAGCACCTAAAAAGAGCACACCCTTGTGTAAAACCTGCCTTCCATCTACCATTCATTTCAACTACCCCATGCTCTAAATCTAAATTATTAACAGAAAAGAATAAGGATGATTGATTATGATTTTATTTTATTTTTTGTCACTGATTAATCAGATTTGATGGGAAAGTAATGTTGGAGAAACTACGGAACAAGCGCTTAGTGTTTGTAGGGGATTCTATTGGAAGAAATCAATGGGAGTCATTCCTCTGCATGCTTTCTTCTGCCGTTCCCAATAAGGACTCAATATACGAAGTGAATGGTAGCCCAATCACAAAGCATAAAGGTTTCTTGGTTTTCATGTTTAAGGACTATAATTGTACTGTGGAGTACTACAGAGCTCCATTTCTCGTCCTGCAAAGCAGGTCACCAGCTGGCTCTCCAGAAAAGATTAAGACAACCCTGAAATTGGACCAAATGGATTGGGACTCTAGCAGGTGGAGAAATGCAGATGTGCTGATCTTCAATACTGGGCATTGGTGGAACTATGAGAAGACCATAAGAGGGTAAATAAGATATTCCTTTTACCCCTTTTTAAATTTTTTGTTATTCTGCTTAAAATGTTCATTTGTATGTTATACGAGTTTGTGTTATATTTAACATTCTTGTTTTCAAAAGCCCTTAAGCATAGACACCGAAAAATCTGGAGTTAATTTTCCAGAAAACAGAAGGCTCAGTTTTAATATGAATCATGAAGTTAGTAGCTTAGTGCTTGAGTTAATTTTCTATGCTTCACTTACAATTTTCTTACCTTTAATTTCCCTTTTTGTTGGTAAGGGGGTGTTACTTTCAAGTAGGGACAAAAGTGAAGATGGAGATGAAGGTGGAACAAGCATATCGGAAGTCCATAGAGACTGTGATGCGTTGGATACACAATGAGGTAAATGTGAGCAAGACCCAGGTCTTCTTTCGCACATTTGCTCCTGTACATTTCAGGTTTGTCTCAACACTTGAGTCATCTTTTTCCATTATCACTTTGCATTCCACATGTTTTGTTCTCTAATACTTCAGCATGTGCATTAAATCCACAAAAAATATATCAAAAAGGGTTTGAACTTTGATCTTTTGGAAGATGATTGCCTGGGTTCAGGCTTCAGGAAAAAAAGTTTAGGAGGAAAAGGTTGGGGCAAATATGGATATCACTAGAAGAACTTGAATTAACATGGAATATCACATGAAAAATTCTAGTGCATATTACTTTTTGATTTTTTGAATAATTCAATAGTCAAGCTGTACAATGTTTTCTTGCGTTGGACCTATTTACAGAGTTCTTTCTAGTTTATGTTTGGGATTAGGGGGTCCTTACTTTTGCTTTATGATACACATTAATCTATAAGCTACATATCTTTGGTCCTGCTCATTGGATATGTGAAAAAAGGAACATGCTCTATGCTGTTGAATAGGTTTTGATCTGAGGAAATGATTTTCATAACATTGCAGGGGAGGTGATTGGAAATCTGGAGGGAGCTGCCACTTGGAGACGCTCCCAGGGCTCAGAACATCATTGGTGTCATCTCAAACTTGGGGACTAGTCAAGGTAGTTGGTGATGTGTTGGCAACTTATTCAAACACATCACTGTCAACGGGACTTGACATATTAAACGTAACCCAGATGACAGCACTGAGGAAAGACGGGCATTCATCTTTGTATTATTTGGGTCCCAAAAGCCCTGCACCACTGCATAGGCAAGACTGCAGCCATTGGTGTCTACCTGGAGTTCCTGATGCATGGAACGAGCTACTTTATGCACTTTTCCTAAAGCATGATAATTCTCGTACGTTGAACTCATCAGTCATCAACAACATATAAACTCCAGGTTCGATTCAAGAACAAAGCCTCTAAGTTTATACACCCGTCTCACTCCAGGTTCGATTCAAGAACAAAGCCTCTAAGTTTATACACCCGTCTCGAAGATACAAGCTTTTTACACAGCAATGATGTGGTTTCTCCACATTGATCAAAAGAACAATTGAAGATACAGGTTCAGCCATAAGGATTAGGCGGGACTGGCAGAGTTAGGTGTTAGAATTTAGATTATGGTTCCTATAGATTGTGGAACCCAAATTTTCCAGCTGGTTAGGGGGCATGGATTCTAGGAATAAAGCTTTGGGGACAATTTTTACGGTGGTCATTCTCTTGTGATGATATCATTGGTTCACCAATGGAAAAATGTAATTAGCACATTTTTGTTTATATAATATGTATAATGAGTGAACAGAAGGTCTAATTCCAAGTTTGCTTAATATATTGCAGCCAGTGAATTTGACATTAGGGAAATCACTCAAATTAGACGTCCTGAAAAGCTGGTTCTCGCATGACTGAATCGTGTCTGTTCATGTGTAAAAACAAAAAAACAACAATTAATTTAAGACAATTTAGGACCAAACAAGTGATTGCCCATATAAATGAACCACACTTCCGAAAAATACATTGCAATCATGTTGGTCACTGCCAAGCGCCTAAGCGTATCTGTATCTGACATGTAAAATAAATGGGGCTTGGAGAAAGGGCAATTTGCGAATCATGTTGATCATTGGCGGGCTTTTAATTGCAATTGGGTTTGCAATTTGATGGATTTTAAGTTTTTGTTAACCTTCAGAGCCCAATCCCACTCATTTCCATCTTCTTCTTTTTTTTTCTTTTTTTCTTTTTTTCCCTCTAGACTTGTAGCTGCTCTCCTTTTTATTCACTTTGGACCAACAATTATCTGTAAAACAAAATAAAAACTAATTAATTTAATAAAAAGTGTAACATAATTTGGACAGTATAGAATTGCATTATATTAGCTATTAGATTAGGATTAGGTTTCTTGATATTAGAGGTTAGGTTCTCTCTATCTAATGATTTATGTTTTACAATTCGGTATAATCTACAATCTAAAACATGAATCCCTTAATATAATTCTTTCTTCTTCTTCTTCTTTTATTATTTTTTTATAAAAATTTTGAAAATAAATACTAAATTAAAAATTGAGTTATGAAACTCATCAAATTGTTCTTTTTTCATTTTCTATGTAAATATTTGTAAAAAAAATTAAGACTTTTTTAGCAGTTTTAAATGTATCACTTGACACTTCTATCAATAAAGGACCAAATAGGTATTAAAAATTTAAGTTTAAGGACCATTTTCGTTCTTTTAAAAGTTTAAGGATTAAAAAGGTAGAACTCAAAGTTTAGGGATCATTTTGGTATTTTAATCAAATGTTAAGTTTGAATGGTTTTCGTCTGAAAGTTATGGTCAATTAATGGAGCAAGTTTAAGTGCTATTATTCATGATTGCCTCACTTAATGGAGTATTTAAATTCAAGTTAGACTCAGTTGTGATCTCTTAAAATTTTTTCCAATGAGCATTAGCCATTAACTTATATTAACAAATGGTTAGCTAATTACGTTTGTTATTTATACTCATATAAGTACATTCTATTTAGGTTAAGATGGTAGGGTATTCAAATGGACACAAAGCAAAATTAAAGAAGAGCCATTGGACTATGATTAATCTTTTGATTTTTCATAAACTCATTGACTTTCACCTACGCCACGAATAGCTATTTAGTCTCTATAAGTTTTGTTTCTTTCACCTTATTACATAAGTTCAAAAAAATCAAAGTTACCTCGAAAAACTAGTTATTAGAACAGAAAATAACAATGTTGAGTTATGAGTCCATTGCATGAAATCTTTGAGATAGTCCTATGCAACATTACACAACAAAATCTGATTTGATGTTTACAATAAGACCATCAATTATGCCTCCATTTTTTACAATGGGCAATTTATTGTTTTCACCTGTCTCTTCTAATGTGCTTTTCAAATCCTTGCTTTTCTATAGCATAGTATATAGTCCAATCATAATGAAAATCAGTATATAGCCTTGATTATGCTCTTTGGCTTTCACCTATGCCACAAATAGCCTTTTAGTCTCTATAAGCTTTATTTCTTTCAACTTATTACATAAGTTCAAGAAAATCAGAGCTAACTTAAAAAAATAGTTATTAGAATTAAAAATAACAATGCTGAGTTATTTGTCCATGAGATGAAATATTTGAGATAACCCATGCAACATTACACAACGAAGTTGAATTTGATATTTGTAGCAGGATCATCGATTATGCCTCCATGATCAATAATCGGCAATTATTTGTTTTCACCTATATCTTTTGATGTGCTTTTCAAATCTATTTTTGCCCTACACCATAGCGTATAGTCTAATCACTATGAGAATGGCTTCAAGTATGTTGAAATCCAAAAAAAAAGAAAAGAAAAAAGGAACAAGCCACTTAAACTAAGAGGAGCATGTCCTCATCACATTCGATTTATTTTTGAAAACAAGTATATCTTCCCCAATGGACTAACTCTTTCAATACTATAACCCTAATAACAATAGTGATAATCATGCACAAAGGATTGAAAGATGTTGCGAAAGTGAGGCCTTGTTCCCATATCGCAACCCCTTGCACATAATAAGCAATTTTAGAGCAAACCACTCTTTGATCATTTCACAAGTTAAAATATTCCATTCCTAACTTTTGTGTATGATTTTTTTTTCTAGATTTAAGTTAAAACTCCTTTAATCAAATAATTTTAACTTAATAATTAAAATACGATAACTAGGTTAATCAAATTAGTATAGTTAAAAATTTTGAAGAGAATGATTTAGTTTAATTGTAACCTGAAATATATCTAGAACCTTGACAAGTTGCAATCAACTTATAGCATGGTTAATGCACCCCTTAAATGACCCAACAACATATAGCATGGTTAATGCACAAAAAATGCACAGATTGTGCACGTAAAATGTTGCTTCCATTGTTGTCAATATGCATGTTATGCCCACATTGTATAAGTTTTGATTTAGCACCAAGCTGATGATTATGAAGAATCAATCACCCAAGCAAGCATCAAATCAATCAAGTAAGCATATAGGTCCAATAACTTATAGCATGGGTAATACACAAATAGTGCATAGAAATGCACAAATAATACATTTAAAAAGTTGCTTCTATTGTTATCAATATATATCATCCTCACATTGTGTAAGTTTTAGTCTAGCATTGGTTTGATGATTAGTTAATGTTTAATTAATTTTGATTTAAAGACAATAATTGCATAAAGAGTTGAAGGAAATGATAACTAGAGGTTTATAGTATTACTCAATAACTTGAAGTGCCATTATCCTTAGGAAGATAGGCAAAGTTAATTTTGGCCTTACATTTACACTCTTGCAAACGTGAAAATGAATATTAATATTATATCAAATTAAGAGACAAAACATGTATGTATTATATTTTATCCAAATTAAGGGGGAAAATGAATGTTTGAGGGAGAGTTAGAGTGGAAACCTGCAAGGACAAAGGCACAAGAAGCCCTGATAAGAAATGCAACAACATGACAATAGATTGAAAGCATGTAGTGACTCATGCTTGTCTTCAAAGCAAAGATAGCAATAATGTTTATCCTTACATAACCAAATTGCAAAGACACAATTGCTGAGAATGGTTTGACTTTCTATAGCTCAAGACACAACCTAGCTAAAAGACTGGCTTGCCATCTTAATTTCCCTCTCTTATCTTGATTATTTCAAAGAATAAAAGGTAATTAGAAGAAAACCTCATAATTTTTATTTGACAACAACATAAAGTCTTATCAAATTAAAGAAAATTTCAACATATCAATTATATTAAAGAAAAAAATTCAAACAAAACTTACCAACATAAAGTTAAGCAAATTATTAAAAACTTATATAAAAGCATGGTTGTGAAATCTTGTTAAAGTGGAATAATGTTTCTCCATATGGAAAATAATACAAGCAGCGATATTTGGCTTCAAATTGTGCTACGAACTATGTGCTTTGTCCTTTGCTTATGTGTAATTTGTAATTAAAAAAAATAAACCTCATACTTCTATTCTGTATTGTTCCCATTCCTTTCATCGTTCCCAAACCCTTCATCCCCAGTGGTTCCTTTTCTACCAAACCCTAAATAAACATATAATTTCAATCACTTTCTTCCTTCTCATTCTCTAAGAATCAAAGACATACCAAACTTCAATGGAATGCAACATGCTTTATCATCCATTTGATTTCCATTCACAATGCAACCTTCATCGATTTTACACCATCGTGATTAATTACGCAAGCTTGTGTCATGGACTCCGTCGTATTCTACAATCCTAGAATCTTCACAACGGCCAAAATCGCATTGGACAACCACCAGCTGCTCACCATCATCACCGTTGGATTGGTCAAGACCACTTTCATCTTGGTTTCCACATTTCTCTTAGATCGAGTGAGGAAGTGGCCATTACTCCTCAACAACGTCGCTACAATGACCATTTCCTTAGGCACCCTCGTGATGGCACTTGCCATAATTGACCACTCAAAGAAAAAGATGACATGGGCATTGGTGCTATGCATGATGGTGATTTGATCATCTGTCAGCTTGTTTTCAAGCAAACTGGGATCGGTTACATGGCTGTACACCTCAGAGATCTTCCCATTAAGGCTTCGTGCATTGGGGGTGAGTGTGGGAGTGGCAGTGAATAAGGTACTTTGAGACTTTTAATGGTAAATAAAAGGCAAATTGCCATTGTTAATGAAAAAGGCTCAAAAACCAAATGTTGTTCAAAGGTCTTGGATAATTTGTTATTTAATTTAATTCTTATTATTATGCATTCGTGGATAATATATAAAATGGTTAAAATTATTACTTATTGTTTAGTACATACCTAACATGTACATAATCTTTTTGGTATAAGGTATTTGCTAATGTTAAAAAGGAACTTGGATGAAGGTGTTTTTGTTGGAGTCTTGTTTCTATTTGTTTATTAATTTTATCTTTCCAAGAGAAATCTAGAAGTGTTTGCTAAGTTGCTAAAAGGATATAGTGTGCCAAGGACCTGGTCTGACTAGTGGCATTTTTTGAAGAAATTATGCAAGAAGCAATCTTGGGATGTTAAAATTGAGATGAGGATTGTATTACACAAGGAGCAAAATGCCAAAGTGTAGTGAGCAAATCTGCACAATATAGAGTTGTGATTCAAATGATTGCTGAAGTGTACTAAGTTTTTAAGTTGGTTTTTCCTTAGGTATGCTTGGGAGAAAGGTGTAGATTTTGCTTTCTTAGTGAAATACACTTATTTTTTCCAAAAGAAAAATCTAAATTGCATAATAACATAATGCTTTAAGAACTCCCCATTGATTCTCTATATATTTGATCTATTGCACCAATAATATTTGATTGACCCCCCTCCCTCGAAAAAGAAAGAGAACAAGTTCCAACACTAGATTCAAGAAATTATAAAGCATATTTATTCCAAATCATGTGTTATTGCTAGAGGAAAAAGAGAACCAAGAATATACTCACATCTTAAAAACAAAAAATATCAAATTTAGATCTTTTCTTGGTAGTGCATAGATAATTTTCTTCCTCTGTCTAGTATTGTTTAACGTCCAACATCAACTAATAGTCATTCAAGTGACCAGCAACGTTGCTCCAACAAAAACAATGGGTAAGAAACTTCATCTGGAAAAATTATAACAATCCTTTGCTAACAAAAACAATTGTTAAGAAGATTCTTTCTGAAAAATGGCAACAATGCATATAAGAGGGAAAAAACGTTATAAAGTATTAACAAGTTGCATGAACTAAGAAAGCTAGTGTATGAAATAACTTGAAAATTCAAATTTAGATCAAAATCATTCATTACTCCATTGTAATTTAGATTCACCTAAACTAAATGAAACTTTTCATTTTTAGTATAAATGAAAAAAAAATGTTAATTATAATATCTTAAATCCAAACTGAGTTACTTAAAACTTTTACCACTTGACTTGTTTGTGGTCCAAATTAATTAAGAAAATTTAACGTAGTTAAACCACTTAAAGGCTTATCCCTTGGATCTTTTACTTTGGCTTGTTCCTTTCCGTTATCTAATGTGCCATGTGTGCAAAACTTAACGGAGGGATTAAAAATGGACCAGATTTCAAACTTTGGAGATCAAGAACAGGCTTTTTAAGTAAAGGTACTAAAAACAAGTTTTTTGCCAAGTAGAGGGACCAAAAGGAGATTTTAACCAAGTAATAACCACTAACAATATGGTATGCCCAATCATTCTAGCACCTTTATACTTTAGAAAATCTATGATTATATCATCATTAAGCCATGTCACTAATCAAAATAAAATAGCATCTTTGTGACAAATTATGCCAACTTTGAAGCACTCTACGTCCCTTGTTAAGAAATTACAAACACATGCTTTCTAAAGTAACAGTATTTTGTTATTACCTAATTTGATGAAATATAGAAACTATATGCAAAACAAAATAACATAGTATATAATTAACCTTTTATTTTTTATTGGCTGCAAATCAGTTTGAGATTGCTTGTTTTGATCCTCTTGGCTAATTTGATAAATAAAGGGAAAATTTGTAAATTATATGTATATGTACATATTTAAAGTACACACTTATTTAAAAAAATCTTATTGGTACCTTTTTTTTATTTCTTTTCTTCTCTATAATTTTCTCTACAATAGACTTCTTACTTTTCAATGGAGGCTAGCCTTTTGCCCTTACTTTCAATGGAGTTAGCAATCTAGCAATGATGGTTAGAACTTGATGATATTCTTCATTCCTCACTAGTGCAGGTTCTATATTTACATGATTAGGAACAATGCTCTCAGAATCTAATTGATTTTTAAGTTTCTCTAACACATCTTCAATGCAATTAACTAAATATTCAAAATTTCCTTTAGATTCAACTCCAACTTCTACAGCTTTGTAGAATTGAGAACACAACTTATTATATCTCAATTTTTTCTCACTAGATTTAAAATTATCGTAGCAATTTTTAATGAATGTGTGTCTATGTTTAACATCATTCCTCTAATGATCTAAAATATACTGACATGGAACTTTTTTCATATTTTTATCAATAAGCACCTTCACCATATGTCTACAAAAAAATCCCTTTGAACTCAAACATACAACAAGAGCATTTAATATCAAAATCATTCTCATTGAAACTAACATCATAAACCACATGCTTTTTGAACTTGCCATCTTTTCCCCTTAAAATGTCCTTCACAAGAAATTTTGATACTAACCCATCAATGGCATTAAATTCTAAATTAAAATAACCCAAGTCTCTTATCTCAAATTTAAACAATTTAGAGATGTCATTGGTATAAGCCTTCTGAAATTGCTTCTCAAAATCAAAACCAGTCATTGAAGTAATACTTGAATTAAAGGGAGCAAAATCTTACTTGTTCTCATTTTCAATCTTACTTTTCAAAACAATATTATATTGTTTTACGAATTGCTTCAAAGAAGTTTTATGACACATAGCCATTAAGAAAAGCATGTATACCTTTACTTCTCTGAATGGTAGACATCCTAGCCCAAAAAATATTTTTAATATATACTGAGACCCAAAAATGTTGAGCATCATATATAGAATTCAACAACTAATTTCTAGAGTATACTCCTTAATTAATGTTCTCTATTTTTTTTTTTTCAAATTTAGTAATTTATATAAACTCATAAACAACACTTTTCAAGATATCCTTCACTTTCTTATATTCAACAAACCCTCCAAGTCTTTTCGAAATCTTTCTCATACTGTGCCAAAAACAAAATCGATGATGAGAATGCAAAAATACTTTTGCAACTACAGCTCTAATAGCCTTACATTGATTTGTAATAATTGCTCTTGAAAAATGATTAGATATACACTCCAACCATGAGTTAAACAACCAAATATAAGTATATGTATCTTTATATGATAACAAAGCACATCCAAGTATATTAGTCTATCCATGATGGTTCACACCAACAAATGATGCAAATGGCATGTCATATCTAGTAGTTAGGTATGTAGTGTCAAATGATATATCATCAAATGATTCATATACTGCTATCAATCTTGGATCAACCCAGAATACATTTCTCAAACGACCTTCTTCATCCATATCAATAACATGAAAGAAATTTGGATTTCATATTTGCATGCGAAAAAAATTATTTTGAAGTGCTTCAATGTCACCAACCCTAAGCCTAAATTATCTTGCTTTAGCAATATAATTTCTACAGTCTCTCTCAGTAAATGATAACTTCTCATATCATCCAGCTTTAACAACTTGTGATTAGAAATTTTTTATTTAAAGGAATACTAGGTTCATCATTCATTTCAAGTGTTTTTTTAACTTGTAGATCTATTGGCTTGTTGCACATAAAAAAATCGTGATTTTCGTGGGCTAAGTTCATGGTTAGGCTCTGAATGAACTCTAGAGATGGAAACTTTCTTCATTATCCAGCTTGACATTAATCGTAGCGTTGCATCCAATTTTATATGATAGCTTAGGAGTAAAACTATTTGCTGCATTGGTTCTCCTGTTACTAGATTTAAAACAATTAAGATAATAATATTTTTGTTGGTCCTTATCTCCTTTCTTCACACTTTTCTTTAGCATATAAAATCCTTTTTGTTTAGCATACTTACTATAAAAATCATAAAGCTCCTCTTCAAAATCAAAAGCCATACCAGAACATGGAGTTTCTAAATAAGGATTCAAAATTTCTTCTAACTTTTCATGGCCATCCATTTATCCACTTTTAATTTGCGAGAATTAACTTTTGTTTCTCTTTCCCATAAATACAAATCAACAAAAAAAAATGTTCATGTTATATGTAGAAGAAGATGCTTCTAACCTCAATAAAAAAACAAACAAAACAAACGCAAAATGAATAAAAATTAAAACTTAGGGCCTGTTTGGTTGCAGCTTGTGGGAAGGACTTCTTGACTTCAAAAGCACAACCTGCATCAAATATTATAATTAGTAAAAAATGCTATAACTTCTCACAAGTTAGCATTTTTTTCATTTCATTGCAAATCTCAAAAGTATCGAATTGGTACTTCAGTAGGAGCTTCTCATTTAAGTTTTAATGAAATTAATACATTATTCTTATTTTATCTTTATTTTTTTATTTACAAAAATAACACTTCTACAATAATTTTTTTTCTAATAGAACTTCTATTAAACGCTTTAGCTACACCAAATGGGCACTTACATAGAAATCAAACACAAACCGAACAAAAAAAAAATCATTAATAAACCAATAAAGTTTAGTTTATTTTGTTTCTAAATTGGCACAAAGGGTAAGGAATTTGGGAATAAAGAGGAAACGTAGGTGGTAGAATAAGAAATTGCGAACAGCAGGGCACAGAACCCTTCTAGAAGTAGGAGTTTTTTTTTATTATTATTATTATTAAAAATTACATATTAGCGAACTGCGTGACTTTCCTTCCTATATTTTATTGTGTCAACAGTGTAGAACCCAACTCAAACGCACTTTGGGCCAATCTTCTTAAATACCATCGGAACCACATCTGGATCTCATCAACTCCTTTCTACCTCTATACCTGGGCGTCCATATCAATGTTTTTGAACCCGGCCCGGTGGCTGGCCTGTTTTGACCACTGGGTCCGGGTCAACCGGTTGAACCGGTTCACCCGATCGATTCAACCGGTCAACTAAAAATTTTTTTTTTTTGACATTTTTATTGAATTTTACTGTGTAGGTTAGTTTCTCCTTCATGAATCAAAATCCCAAAACCCAATCACCCAAACCCTAATCTCCAAATCCCCCGCCCCAATGAACCAAACTCCCTCTCCTCCTCCTTCCCCTGCCTTCGACGGCGACGCCGGAATGGACGACGCCTGGTATGGCAACATCCAGTACCTTCTCAACATCTCCACAATCGGTCTCTTTTGTTGCGTCTTCATCTTCGTCTTCCTTAAGCCCCGTAGCGACCACCGCCGCATGCCTGGCCCTGCTGCTCTCTTTTCCAAGCTACTTGCAGTCTGGCACGAGACTAGCCGCAAGATCGCACTGGCCGCGAGATTGCCGTCCACTGTGGGGCTGATGCTACGCAGTTTCTCTTGATTGAAGGCAGTAGCTTCATTATGCTTCTGTCCGTTGCTTTTCTATCGAAAGAGAAGAAGTGCAGTGACAAAGGAAAAGATCGACGGACGATCGACGAAGAGAAGATCAATGGAAGACCCTTCTGCAGTTCTGTTGGTTCCTCCTATCTGGGTTTTGCAATTTGTTTCCACTGTCCCGAGCTCCTAATGATCTTAGATTCTTAGCGTTTTTAGTTTTTAGGTTTTAGTTTTTACTTAGTTAATTAGTTTAATTGATTTTTAATTTAAGTTTTAAACTTTAATTTAAGTCAAAAAAGACAAAAACTTAAAAAGATGGTGAAAATTTCAGCCCAGGCGAGCGTAGCAGGTCGCACGAGTTCAACGGGCACAACGGGCTTGACGGGTTTCAACGGGCCATTCACCTAAACGGGCTGAAGCCTTCAACCGGCCCGTTTTCAGGCTCAGGTCCGGTTCAACCGGTTCAACCGGCCGGGCCGGGCCGGGTCCAAAAACATTGGTCCATATCCCCGCTAACTGAAGCCCATCGCTTTCTGGTGGGCGAAGAATGCAGACAGAGGCCCGGAGCCTGAGCACTAAAACACCATCGACATCGGACGGAGCCGAACCCCCAGCGTCGAATTCAAGCTACCTTCTCACCCGCCGGACTCCCTCCATTCGTATTGAAGCAGGAAGCTTTCTGATTTTCTGTGCCTTTGGCGATCAAAAACACTAACAACTGTTGAGTGAAAAGCGAAACATACTAAAGGGTGGTCTTTGATTAATGGCGAACTCAACTGCGCCAAAGAGCCGATCGAGGGACCTCGACAAGCTCCTCCTCCGGCCCGGTAACCTCGTCGGCCCCAACTTCGAGCCCGGCGCCGAAGTACTGTTTCCTTGCCATCTCGTTCTGGTTTTGGCATTTTGACAAGCAGTTTATCTGCGATCTCTTCTGGTTTGCTTTTTATGGGTGTTATTTGCTTTAATCTTCAATGTTTTGGTGGTGGGTTTGTAGTTGAGGGACGACCTGCAGCAGTATGCTAGAGTTTTGGTGGTGGGGGCCGGAGGATTAGGGTGTGAGCTGCTCAAGGACTTGGCTCTTTCAGGGTTTCGAAATCTTGATGTCATAGACATGGACCGCATTGAGGTCACCAATCTCAATCGACAATTTCTTTTCAGGTTTTCTTTTCTATTGTGTCTAATTCTTTGATTTGTTCTTGGTACATGTAGTAACTATGATAATATTAAGAGGTGTTGGTTTTAAGACGTGTTGCAACAGATTTCGAATTGGAAAAGAAAGATTTAATGCTCATTATTGATAATGCAGGCTGTTTCTTCAATTTTATCCTTTTGGGATGATATATATACAATATACTTGTTATTAGGAAAAATCTTCTTTGAATTAATAAGTTACTTTGGTTATTGAGTTTCTTACTGGAGCTAAAAGGTTCACCATTGTTTTGGTGTTGATACTCTTAGGCTTGAAGACGTTGGCAAGCCAAAGGCTGTGGTGGCAGCAAAGCGTGTCATGGAAAGAGTTAGTGGTGTAAATATTGTGCCTCACTTTTGCAGGATTGAAGACAAAGACATTGAGTTTTATAATGATTTTAATATTATTGCTCTTGGTCTTGATTCCATTGAGGCTCGAAGCTACATAAATGCTGTGGCTTGTAGTTTTCTTGGTGCGTATGTTTACTATTTATTTTTTACCAAAAGTATATTACATCTCCTAGAGATTTGTTTTGTAGTTCTTGTGTATAAGACCTTGAATGGTGGGAAGAGCATGTTGTTGTATTAAGGATTTCTTAGCGAATATAGTGTGTCTTATAACTCTCATTGTGCTGATATATTCAAGAGTATGATTCTGATGACAACCCACGAGAGGAAACAATCAAACCCATGGTAGATGGTGGAACTGAAGGTTTCAAGGGCCATGCAAGAGTGATTATACCGGGGGTCACACCATGCTTTGAATGTACAATCTGGCTTTTCCCTCCTCAAGTGAAGTTTCCTTTATGCACTCTTGCAGAAACCCCAAGAACTGCAGCTCATTGTATTGAATATGCTCACTTAATCAAATGGGATGAGGTAATTGGGTAATCAGTACCTTATTTATTTTTCAGTCTTAAATTGATGACTTTCTGGTTCCCTAATCTCTCTTGTGATGATTTTTTCCCTTTCCCCTTATAGGTTCACAGTGGGAAGGCTTTTGACCCAGATAACCCTGAACACATGATGTGGGTTTATGATGCGGTAACTTGTGTTAATCTGTCTAGTGATGTCTTTCTTTACTGCTGAATTTTGCTCTAGGCTTCTTAGAGCAATCTGTATTCTGTAGGCTGTTAAGAGAGCTGAGCTTTTTGGAATTCCAGGGGTTACCTATTCTCTTACTCAGGTATGCCGTAAGTTAAAGTCTATATTTGATTGATTATAGTGTTTTGTTATCATATTTCTTTATGAATTTAGAAGAAAATAGCTGATTCTGTGTCTTTCAAATTTTAATAGTTTTATGGTATTTAAGCTAAATCAAATAGCTTAAGTTCACTTTTTACACTAAAATGCAAACACAATTAGTCAATTAGATTTTGACATTTTGCTTTTAGGATGACAAAATGTCCATATAGCAGGCGGAAAGTTGTTGAGAATAAACAAACCTTGTTTGGTCATCATCATCTCTCTCTAGATATATGGCAAAAAAATTGAGCAGCTAATTTTCGTCAATTGCTTGCAGGGTGTTGTGAAAAACATAATACCAGCAATTGCTTCTACAAATGCAATTATTTCAGCAGCATGTGCATTGGAGACCTTGAAAATTGTGTCAGGATGCAGCAAAACATTGTCAAACTATCTTACGTATGTCTACATCCTCTTTCTTTTCTCTTTTTTTCTTTTTGTTTTTCTGTTTGGATTTATTCTTCTAAAAGTGGGCCTCATTTGATGGCACTACTTGAAGGGAAAATTAGAAATTAGAAATACATGTAATTGATAATGCTTCGACTTACTTGACTTTTGTTTGTGTAGGGTACAAATCTTATTGTCATTTTCTATTTGTTCCTTAAATTTTTAGCAGCACAGTCACATAATCATGCTAACTGCAGATTTTCTAAATCTTGATAAAGGAGAAGGCATATAGTTACATTGATCACTAGCAAACTTCTAAAGCTTTTCTTTCCTTCTCAATTCTACATGCTACTTTTGTAGGTATAATGGTGTTGAAGGTCTTCACACTGAAGTGACAGAATTTGTGAAGGATAAAGACTGTCTTGGATGTGGTCCAGGCGTTCTTGTTGATCAGCTGGATACTTCAGTCACCTTGCAGAACGTAGAGAGCCCAATTTTTTTTTTTTTTATCAAGAGTATGCTTCCATCATTATTAGTAGGTCCATTATTTATGATTTTACTTTATGTTTCTTTTCTGTGGTTGAATGGAAACAGTTCATCGATATGCTTGAGGAGCATCCTAAGCTACTTCTATCAAAAGCAAGCATCACACACCGAGGGAAGAATCTATACATGCAGGCACCTCCTGTTTTGGAAGAGATGACACGATCAAACCTAGGTGTCCCACTTTATGACTTAATGGGTAAAGTTTCAAAGGACACCCTCCACGCCTCTGGCACAATCAACAAGGACAATAAGAAAACCTCTGGACTAAGAAAATTGCGCGTTGTTTTCAAGGGAATTGATGTTGTGACAGATATGGACATGGCTGGGGGTGCATATGATCAATAGTAGTTTCAAATAAACATCTCTCCTTCTCCATCTCCATCTCCCTCTCTTGAAAATCTCCTCAGGATACAATATGATTTGCGAAGAGGGTGGTTGAATACCGTTATAGCTCGTGTAAGGGTAAAAATTTTCCATGGATGGTTCCTTAAAAATGAACTTTTGAAGATGTGAAATTGTTATCAAGGTGTAGAACTGATATTTCAGTCAACTTTCTAAAGGCAAAGATATTTCAATTTAACTTCACAACACAATACCTTTTTCTAAGCTTGAGGGTGGATCATTTAGGGACTATACTACCAATTTTCAAACTCGTCCATCCGATCTAATATCCGAATTTGAAATCTCTTTGTATTCTCAAATTCCAAGCACTGGTTGTTGAGAAAAGGAGCAAATAAAATAAGAATACAAATTTTGTTGTAATTTTAGATTTTTAAATTAAATGGTAAGTATTTTTTTTTAAAGAAGAATATAAATTTTTTATTTTTTACTTAAAAATTTATTAAATAGTGATAATAATATAACAAATGGTAATCTTAATCAAAATATGATAAAGTTTATTTGAACTTTTTTTCATTAATTGTTTTTACTAAAAAAATTTGTTGACAATAAATGTTCACATGATATGACAATCAATAAATTTTATTGTTGCTAGCATGGGGGTTAACATTTGAATTAGTAAACATTTATTCTTTTAATATTAAGTCATATTGTATAAAACATTATACAAAAGCTGGAAACTACCTTTTCCAGAATTAGGCAAGAAGAATATTGGCAACCTCTAGTTTTCCCAAGCAATGGCTGGAGGCTGGATTGACAATGGTTCCTGTAAAGTGACCAACTTTCGTGTGTGTCACGCGATAATAATTTATAGAGTTGAGACAGAGCAATTATTGTGGGGCTTAAACAAAAGCCTCAAAAAAGTAGTATAAATTATGGGTACTGCTTAGTTTAAGCCTCAAAAGTACAGCAATAATCAAATAGAATTTACGCACGGGTGTATAGATGAGTCCGCAAGGAATTTTTTTAATTTAACCAAAAGTTTTAATTTCAAATTTTAAGAATATAGTTTTATTAAAACTTATGAGGAAAAACTTTGTTGGTTATTGGGTCTTGCCTATCTCAAATTTAAATTAATCGATTAACTAGTGAGTTTCTAGATACTAACTGGTACATAAAAAAAATCAAATAGAATTAAGGCCAAAATATGCTGCTATATGCTGTTATCACGTGGATAATTTCTTTTTCCTTTTTAAGGATTTAAAATTGATTTTAATTTCACTTTTACATATTTTAACTCTAATTTTTTTTTTTGAAAATAATGTTTAAAATGTCCAAAAGAATGTTAAATTTTCTAAAAAATCTGAAATCTTGAGCATAGCCTACGTCATAGCATACGTAGTTCCTGAGATGAACACTGCCCCAGTTGCAGCCTGAAATCGTAAACAACTATGCATTTATCTAATCTAAAATGCTAAACTTGAACTCTTATTGGTTGATTCAATTACCTGACCAAATTTTCATATATAACACCACATAGGTTGCAGTCTATACATTCCAATTTGCATACATTTACTTTTAACATTCGAGGTGATAGAAAGAGGCAGAGAGAGATGGGCAGCGCCACCACTGTGTCGCCGGTAATGAATTGTGGACATGGTGACTATGGCTACGACAGAAACTCGTACTATCAGGTACTCATCAAACACACTCTACAGAAGTTTAAGGTTCGAACTCGACGTTTTAATTAGTTGCGAAACATCTAGTTTATCAACTAAGTTACTCAAACTTAATTTTAAGTTATACCCCTTGTAACAATAATAATCCTTTTTTGGCCTTCTTTGATCACAGAGAGAATGCGCAAACCTTCAAAAGGGAAAAATTGAGGAGGTGATCAAAGAGAAACTAGATTTGAAGAAATTCTGCTCCACTTCAAACACAATTCGCGTTGCAGATTTGGGATGTTCAATTGGACCAAATACCTTCATTGCCATGCACGATGTAGTAGAAGCCATGAAACAAAAGCTCCAGTCCCAATTTAGTCCTTCCTCCAAAATGTCCGAATTCCAAGTGTTCTTCAACGATCAACCGTCCAATGATTTCGACACCCTTTTCACCTCTCTCCCCAAAGAAAGACCCTACTTTGCCGTTGGTGTTCGGGGTTCCTTCCACGGCCGGTTGTACCCGGAATCCTCTGTCCATTTTGCATTTGCCGCTCATGTACTTAATTGGCTCTCAAAAGTACCGGAGGAGCTGCTAGACAAGAAGTCTACCGCGTGGAACAAAGGGAGGGTTCACTACACAAATGCGCCAAAAGAAATGGTTGATGCTTACAAACGTTAGTTTTTTGAGGATATGAATAACTTCTTGAATGCCAGAGAGAAAGAGATTGTGGCCTGAGGTATGATTGTTCTAATTTTGCCTTCAAACCGGCATGAGCAACCTGATTCCGAAATTCCCCTGGGAGTTTCTTCCGACTTAATGGCATCTGTTCTCATGGATATGGTGAAAGAGGTAAAGTAAATGACTATTCAATTCAAACGTGGGAATTTCAATTAAGAAAATATAGTTGATATACACGATTTTATATCACATTGAACATGCGTATGCAAACTAATTCACACACATATGTACACAGCAAGTTAAAATGTACATAGTTTTTTTTTTTCAGTCTAATGATAGTCTGTGCAATAGAGTTAGCTTTCTTCTCCTCATCTTTCTTAAAATACAAATTTGAGACCTATAACTTATAAGTTGAAGTTTTTAATCATTGAGATGTCTAGATTTGAACATGTAAATGTATAAAAGTTCACTTTAAGATATCACAGGAACATGTTAAAATGTAGTTGATATTGGACAGATTAAAATTTGTTGAGCTGGAACTATGTACCAATGTTCATCTTTTATCATACTAATGTCAAAAAAGAAGTTATCCTAACAAGTTTTATTCACTACTAAGAGACTTGACAATCCTTGACTATAGGGACTAGTGGACGAGAATGAAGCGAATTCCTTCAACTTACCAATGTATGCCCCCTCACCAGAAGAGATAATGGAGTACATAGCGAGTAACAGTTGCTTTAGCATTGAAAATTTGAAATGATTGATACAAAAAATCCGGTAGTAATTGTCAATAACGATAAGGTGGACGTAGACGAACTGGCGGCACATTATAGGGCCGCCTTTGAAGGACTACTCACCAAGCATTTCAATTGTGGGGTTAATTTTATTGACGATTTCTTTGGTAGACTTACCAAGAAATTCATAGAGGACTCTACTCGCCTGCATTCAACTCTCCCCAACACATTTCAACTTTTGGTGATTTTAAAACGTAATTAATTGGATTGGAAAAACAGTCTCCATTGGATCAAACTCATTTCATTGTACTACTAATTTCCATAATGATCATTTTATTTAGTTATAAATATCAGACCTGATTAATAGTTTATTATATTAACAAATTAAAACCAATCAATAAATTAATATTTTTAAACAATACTTAAGAATAAAACAAAAATTTTGATGGTACTAACATCTTTTATGGTAGTAATAACCATACTACTAATTACTATTGCTCTTTTTTTAGTCATTTTAATATAATTTGATGGTTGGCAACTGAGATGTGAAACGGATCTTGAAGATCTATGACTGTCACATTCATTCTGCTGATGGCCCCCGGGTTCGTTAGCCAGTTTGCAAAGCGTGTGAAAACAAGCGGTGGATACCAAAGGGATGGTACAACTAGTACCACTGGTACCACTTGACCTTTCAAGTTCATATGGAGCTGAGTAATAACTAACAGGCAGCTGGAGCGTAAAAAAGTATGATTGGCCCCACAGCAACAAAGATAAGTCCTTTGCCCTTGGGAACTGAGTTTGACTGTCTCCTTTTGCTTAACCATGATAAACACTGACAATCCAGAATCCAGATAAGAAGTTGTGGGTATATCAGAGGATTGTGGACTATGAATTATGAATTATATCTTGTTGCCTTGTAGAGATGTAAGGGATAGGGGGGAAGGGTTCGGAGGCTCACCCATTTCCAGTAAGTTTGCTGATTTTGACGTCTATGTTGGATTAGATATCTAAATGTGGGCTGTTTTGATATGCTATCTCCTTTTTCTCCTTGATTAATATCATGAACATACTTAATGATTCTCGTGGGACTTAATCAGATTGGCCAACAACTCCGCCAAGGACCCCACCAACCCACATGCACTCCCTTCCTCCCGGCAT